TTCTCAATAAAAATGATTTTTTCTCAATAAAAGCCTTTAGGTTTTGAGAATTTGAGACTTGAAGTTACTCGTTACAACAGAATAACAGCATGTCCTGGTGTGAGAGAAATGAGTTCAGTCATCCATGGGGCTGGAAAAGAGTGGATCCCAGAGATAAGAAGGAGATAAAATTAGGTGAATGGGGACCAGATCAGGGAGAAGTATGCAAGCCAAGGTTCCAGATTTGGACTTTTTATGGGCGTGATGGAAAACCAGGGGATGATGAAAGAAGCAGACACTCTTAGCCTAATCTGTGATGCTTTGAAACTTATGTTAAAAATGTGATGATGTCTTTCTTTTGAATTGATACTCTTTGTACCAGAAGTTTAATATGCTTTGATTATAACTTAACAAATTATAGAATTGAGATTGAGGAGCTGAAAGGATTTCAACTTTATATCTTGAATACTTTATAACATAAAACGAGAATGGATCTAAGTATATTTCCATTGGAAACATTCAGGAATACATGAAAGTATGAAACTAACTTCTTAAAAGTAAAATAAAAAAATAAAAACTTATTAAAATTTACTCAGCTGTGTTAAAATTTTGTTAGAAAAGGGTGCATTATAAATAAAAATTTGCATAGCTTTCTGCTACAGAAAGATGCTCCTTTTGTTCTGTTCACAAAAACGTTTGGCCACTTTATTTTTATTTGGAATCTGATACAGCAGCCTTGATTTTTTTTCTTCTCAATAAAAAAGCATCGACATGTCAATGGCCATGATTGCTTCCACCCAAGCAGAGATGTGGAAATTGAAATAAGGGCCCAGTGGAGCCTTTACAGAGTGTCCACGTAGGTGTTGCCGCAGTTTCCATTCATTCGTAGCTGCCGTATCAATGGCAAGGAAAATAGGTTTGATTAGATTTGGCAGCAGTTTTCCTCTTATAATATTTTCAAGAGATGGGGTTGTTCAGGGTTGAATTCCCAATTATTTCCTGCTGTAAAAAGAAGTATAAAACAATGTCTCCAGCATCAAATGCAATTAGTTCTTCTATTGACTTGTGTTTTTAATGTTAAAATTATATTCCTCTGTGGGAGGAATTGACAGATACCATTCTTCCTCATAGATGCACGAATATCCTTGAAAACTGAGTGTATGGTTTTGACAACTTCTTTCTGTGTCTCTGAGATCAAAGCTCTGAAGAGCTCTGAGATCAAAGCACTAAGGAGGTGGGACACAAGATGTAACAAGAATAGTATTTTGAACATTTTCAACTAATAGAGACTGTGGATTTTATTCTCCCCTACATACCGTGTTCCTTTGTCATCATTTAAGTAGTGTGGCGCTCAAAGAAAAGAGGGAACGCTCTCGCTTATACCAGTGTTATTCACAACGGCCAAAAGGTGAAAGCAGCCCAGCTGTCTATTGATGATGAATGAATAACTGAGGTTGATGCATATGATGGAAGAGCATTCAGGATTGAAAAGGAAAGGAATTCTGTCAGATGCTACAGCATGGATGAACCTTGAAGATGCTATGCTAAGCGAATAAGTCAGACCCAGAAGACAAATGCTGTATGATCTCACATATATGAGACCAAAAAAAAAATGCAGTTAGATTCATAGAAACAGTAGAATGGTGTTTGCTGAGGTCGGAGGGGAGGGAAAGATAGGGAATTGTTTCATGTCTACAGAGATTTCATTTTGTAAGATGAAAAAATCCCTGAGATTTGTTGAACAACAGTGTGAAAATACTTAACATTCCTGTACTGTATGCTTAAAATGATGAAGATGGTAAATTCTGGGCTATATGTATAAATGACTGTAGCCCACCAGGCTCCTCTGTCCATGGGATTCTCCAGGCAAGAATACTAGAGTGGGTTGCCATTTCCTTCTCCAGGGGATCTTCCCGACCCAGGGATTAAACCCAGGTCTCCTGCACTGCAGGCAGATTCTTTACTCTTTTAGCCACCCAGAAAGTCCCTCTGGACTCCAAATTTCTACCACTATATACCACGTACTGAATAGCAAATCAAGAAGGAGAAAGAAAGGGGATGCCTCTTACTGATAGAAAAAGGAAGAAAGTAGACAATCCCCACCGCCCCTGGAAAAGTTGGAAAAGAAAAAGAGAAGCATTGATATGAAAAGAGGTCAGTCCAGGTGTCCTTGTTTCTTCTGTGGGGATGTGTCCTGACATGAACGTGTAGGAGGGGAATGGAAAGCGCCCTGAGCGCCAGGGAGAGCTGCCCTGGGGTGGACGGGAAGGATGCAGGCCCTCAGGAAGATGCCTCATCCTCTGTATCCAGCATGGCCCAGGGATGCCATTGCAGCTTCTGCAACGAAGGGGCTGGGTGGACACCTCCTTCCTCTTTCCTGTGTGGTGCTGGCGAGGGGTGGAAGGGTTCTTGTAGGCTCAGAGGCTTTCAGAAAGGATGCTAACGTGGTGTCCCAGGAAACCGTATCTGCAGATGTCACCTGAGAAGCAGAACAGCACCATGATAAAGAAAGACTGAATTCTGAAGTCAGGCTACCTTGGTTTTTACTTTTGGTTTCTCTACTTTCTATCTATGGAAATCCGAACAAGTTAATTAACTGCTGTGTTCTTAAGCTGTAACAATAATAATGCCCACCTCACACTGAGGGTTACATGGTTTTGAACTCATGAAAATCCTAACACAGCACTTGACACACAGTCCTCAAACTTGTCAGTGATTATTATTATTGAAAAGGGATCGGGAAGAGAGGGCTCAAACATGTATTTGTCAAAACTGCCTAAAGAAACTAAGTCACTCACCTTCACATGGAAATTCTAAAGCTTCCATCTTTTGCCACCTAAGTGAATATAGGCTAGGGAAAACAAGATTTGTTATAAAAAAATAAAAATTAATTTTTTGTACATTGAGTGTAATGGGAATAAACTTTTGATTCCATCATTTTTAGAGGCCTCGAGTGTTCCTTGTCTGAGTCCTGCATCTAATATTTGTGGGATTTGAAAGAAAGATACAACTAGAGGCCCATATGCCACCTGCATAAATATCTAAATGATGCAAATAAAGCTAATAACTTTAAAAATTTTTTAATATTTATTATACCTTTGGTTTGAAACCTACACAATGAATAGGTTCATTGAAACTTTACAATGAACTGGAAGAACAGGCTCAACTTTAGAATTAGCAGAAAGTCCTGTGCTAGAGCCTGGGGGCGGGGGGAGGGGTGCAGGGCAGGGAAAGCTGTGCTCCCTGATCGTGCACCCTCTTCTTCCCCATCTGTCTGTGACCTGCACCCAGTTCAGTTCAGTTCAGTCACTCAGTTGTGTCTGACTCTTTGCAACCCCATGAATCGCAGCACTCCAGGCCTCCCTGTCCTTCACCAACTCCCAGAGTCCACCCAAATTCACATCCATTGATGCCATCCAGCCATCTCATCTCATCCACTGTCATCTCCTTCTCCTCCTGCCCCCAATCCCTCCCAGCATCAGGGTCTTTTCAGATGAGTCAACTCTTCCCATCAGGTGGCCAAAGTATTGGAGTTTCAGCTTCAACATCAGTTCTTCCAATGAACACCCAGGACTGACCTCCTTTAGGATGGACTGTTTGGATCTCCTTGCAGTCCAAGGGGTTCTCAAGAGTCTTCTCCAACACCACAGTTCAAAAGCATCAATTCTTCAGCACTCAGCTTTCTTCACAGTCCAACTCTCACATCCATACATGACCACTGGAAAAACCATAGCCTTGACCAGACAGACCTTTCTTGTAATATTAATTGAATATGCTGTCTAGGTTGGTCATAACTTTTCTTCCAAGGAGTAAGCGTCTTTTAATTTCATGGCTTCAGTCACCATCTGCAGTGATTTTAGAACCCAATGAAATAAGTCTGTCACTTTTTCCACTGTCGCTCCATCTATTTCCCATGAAGTGATGGGACCAGATGCCATGATCTTCGTTTTCTAAATGTTGAGTTTTAAGCCAACTTTTTCACTCTGCTCTTTCACTTTCATTAAGAGGCTCTTTAGTTCCTCTTCACTTTCTGCCATAAGGGTGATGTCATCTGCATATCTGAGGTTCTCGATATTTTTCCCAGCAATCTTGATTCCAGCCTGTGCTTCATCCAGCCCAGCGTTTCTCATGATGTACTCTGCATATAAGTTAAATAAGCAGGGTGACAGTATACAGGCTTGACCTACTCCTTTTCTTATTTGGAACCAGTCTGTTGTTCCATGCATAGTTCTAACTGTTGCTTCCTGACCTGCATACAGGTTTCTCAAGAGGCAGGTCAGGTGGTCTGGTATTCCCATCACTTTAAGAATTCTCCAGTTTGTGGTGGTCCACACAGTCAAAGCCTTTGGCATGGTCAGTAGAGCAGAAGCAGATATTTTCTGGAGCTCTCCTGCTTTCTTGGTTTGCACTTGCACTGACTTGCACTGCCAGAAGCCCAACGCACACACACTTTGTCATTCACATCGTCAAGCTCCACGTGTATGCACGCTTGCAAACTGAGCCCCCTTGCACAGCGCTCAGGCCAACAGTGGCAGACACGGGCCACCCTCCCCAGGCTTGGGGAAGGGGTCTGGGCTCCAGGGGGCCACAGCCCTTTAGTCCAATCAACTCCGAGCCCTGTAGAGAAGACCTTGGCCTGAGGACCATGGCAGCGCTGGCTCGTGCAGCCTAAAGTGCGGGGTCTTCTTGCCTCGTTTATAAATGGCAGCGTGCACCAGAAATTGATTCCAAACCCTTCAGTTACAACCGGAGAGCAGAAGCCTGAAAGAGAAAGTGTACAGTACGGGCCGAAAGATATTCAACAGACAGAGGAATGAAAAGTGACAGAGAAGATTATCTCTCAGACCATTCTTAAAATCAGGCCCTTTGAGAAGAATGGACCTCTTCCAGAAAAAGAAACCTCACCCAGGCATCAGCACCTCAGATTGTGAATGTGGTGACTGGAGAGGCATCATTTGCCAGTGATCCTAAGGAGCACACCTTCCGTTCCAGCATCCCGAAATCACACTGTCTGCTCTCACCGCCGGCACGTCACAGGGGCCACCAGCCAAGCAGCAGCTGTGGCCCGGCCATCGGCGCCTGTGCACACACACGTGTCATAGCTGATCACCACCAACTGCTCACCGTGTGCGTTGTCAGCTCTGTGTAAACTGGCGCTCACTGCTAGTTAAAAATCTCATCAAAAAGATCCCACTATGATTGGGCACTGGAACAAGTTAGCATTGTATGCAGGAAGACATAGAAACAGAACCGCAGGCCATAAATTGGATGTTAGGGAAACAAATGCTCATTATTGGAGGAATCTCTACAACTTTGTGTTTGTTTGCAAAGTGACAACAAAGTGAATTAGAGATCTTAACAGGAAGATATGCCTGCGTAGAAGCAAGGGTAATATTTTGTTAGTGAGTTTGTTGGTTAGCTGCTGCAACAATAAGGTTGCATGACCTTGTCTCAAAACTCAGTGGTTTAAAACAACTCATTTGTCATGTGCTTGTAGCTGAAGGTCATCTGGGGTTCAGCTGGCCTGGGGGGACTTACTTAGATGTCTCAGTTTCTCAAGTTTCTGCTCTACTTGTTATGAGATTATAACAAGAGTTTATTTATCCATTCCCCTATTGATCATTGCTTCTAGTTTTGGCAATAGACATTATCGTACAAGACATTTCATGGACAAATATTTTCATTTCTCCAGCTAGATAACTAGTAGTATATCGTCTTTGTGCTCAGTCACTTCAGTTGTATCCAGCTCTGGGCAACCCATGGACTGTAGCCCGCCAGCCTCCTCTGTAGGATTCTCCAGGCAAGAACCTTGGAGTGGGTTGCCATGTCCTCCTCCAGGGGGTCTTCCCGACCCAGGAATCAAACCCCTATCTCTGGCGTCTCCTGCAATGGAAGCGGGTTCTTTACCCACAGAGCCACCGGGGAAGCCCTAGTATATTGTCTAGGTCATAGATAAATAGAAGTTGAATTATGTACGAGAAACTTGAAGATTTTCACAGTTGGTGTGTTGTTTCACACCTACCCCAGCAGTGTATAAAGGCTCCATTTGCTACATATCGTCACCGATGTTTGGATGAATCAGCCATCCCACCGTTGTTTGCCCTGCAGCGTTTTTGATGAGAAGGCAGCCTTTGTTTTTGCGGTTACTCCTTTGTATAAACTGCATCTTTCTCCCCTTGATTTAAGATTGTCTCTTTCTTTTAGGCTTTCAGCAACTTGACTCTGATGTGCCTAGGTATCAGTTTCTTTATTCTACTTGGAGCCTGTTACTTGGCATTTGGTAAACTTTGTGATCTGTGGATGGATATTTTTTGTTAATTTTTTTGAATTTTTGGCCATAAAACAGGCTTTCTGCCTCATACTTTCATTTGTCTCGATTCCTCACTTCCAAAGCAGGGGCTGTGGGTTTGATCTCTGGTCCGGGAACTAACACCCCACGGAAGACAGACATAAGGTGAATCCGTGAGGCCCTGTGTAAAGGTCCGTCCTGATCACACACTCCCTCCTCCCACCTCCCCCTCACTCCCTTCCTGCTCCACACACCACTGAGAGTCAGTTTAGAGATCCTGTCAGCTCCCCTTGACAGGCCCAAGCTACACTTGGAATATTTCCAGTTTGCTGTTTTCAAAGGCTTTTGGATTATATTAAGAAATAGAGGTTCCTAGAATAGACAAAATTCAGCTCGGTTTTGAATTCATTAGCTCAAATCCCTATGTGTTTCTATTGTAATTCTTCCCTCCGGCATAAATAATCCTCTGCTTTTAACAAGTCTTTGTAGCAAGTCTGTACCTCACACGCTTTAGATATCCTCTGATATCAGTTTTAAATCTCCTGAGCTGTGAATGGTCCCTGGCAGCTCTCTGCCAAGCAATCGTTTTAGCTTCTGACAATCTGTGGATAGCTGAAGTTACCGATCAAAACAAGAATATGGGGCATCTTTAGTTATCCCAGAAAATTCTGTGGGGAAAATGAGTGTTCTGTCCCAAGGCCACCATAGATTAGTAGGTTTTATCTAGCTGAGGGTAATGGTAAAGAGGGCTATTCATATTGAGGCAAAACTGTCAAAAATATTTTAACGCTTAGATTTATTTCTATACCTTTCAGTAGTTTAAGTAGGCTTTCTAATTCTGCTCACAATCTAAGAGATTTACTACTTACAATTTTCTCCGGTATTGAAATACCAAGACAGATCCTTTTCTATTCACACGGGGGGCGGGGGGGGCCGTCTCAGAACCTATGTAAGAAGTCAGGCTGTCAGCACATGTCTTTATATCCACAAAGGCAATCTGTGGAGACGGTGTCAAAAGCACAAGGTGAGTCATCTTATGTTTCTTTATCAAAAGGTTGCAGAATTTAAAGCCGGTGGATGTCATCTGCTAGATTGCAGTGAACAGATCCTCTGGTGGGTGGGAAACGCTCCACGAGCAGCTTGGAGGAGCTGAAGAGATCTCTAAACAGACTTCCATTGTGTGTGGCTGGGTGGCGGTGAAGGAACGAAGTGTGAGCGGTGGGCAGTGTGTTGATCGGAGCCAGGGCTACCCCTTTAAGCAAGTCCTCTGCCTGGGAGCTAGGAGGGCAAGGAAGATTCAGTTCAAGACGGAGCAGCGTGTGGGCTGTGAGCTGGGGAGAGCACTTCTCAACCCAGTCTCCATCTGACTTTGCACCTTCACCCCAGCCTCACCTTCCTCTCTCCAGGCCTCTCTCCAGCACTCCCCGAGGGCTGCCTCCCTCCCCACCCCTCTGCCACCTCGCCATCTTTGAATTTCCAGCAAGGAACACAGCGAACTGTAATAGATGACTTTAGTTTCAACATCTGCATCTGCTAGAGGCTTAACCTACAGCCCACAATTGTCTCTCTCTACTATCCTCCCCAGATCTTCACCCCCAACGCACTTCTTCCTTGCTTTCTGACTCTGCTCTGCTTTGTTATATGACCTCTTCCCCTTCTCGCTGTTTCTTTTCCTTGAGTGAAAAAGGGGGAATGGAAGGGAGCAGAGAAGGTGAGAGATGAGTAAGAAAACATGATACAGATTCCATGTAGGCTTGACCTTGTGTCTGTCTAAATGATTCCTTCATCTAAGAGAATTGCCCTCTGAAGTGTTTTAATTCTTTCAAGAGGTATCTAGGGATGTGAGCCATAAAGCTTATTCAATTGGGGGGATTTTTATGAAGAAAAATATAAGACTGGAAATACAAATCAAGTACAGAATGTGTCAAAGCATAAAGCGAGTCATCTTATTTTTTTCTTTACAGCAAAACATTGCAAATTTTAAAGACATTCCAAGTTCCCTGCCAGCTTACAGTGAACAGAGCCTATAGTGTGTTTCCCCATATTTGGGAAACCATTCTCTTTTTCTTCTGCTCACGGGCATTTGGATTTTCTTTTGCAAAATTATCTTTGCTCTACTGTGAGTGATTGTGGTGCAACTGTCAATCAAGGTACCCTGACCTCCCTCAGGGATGTGTTTCATTCACTTCAGGCCATCTGGCCATCTGAACTTTGAGTCTTGAGTTAATGGATAGAAGAATAAAAATCACAGCCTTTTAGAGATGTTTCTTGTCATCAGCAGCATGTTGATAAAACTGTCACTCACTCCTGCCATCCAGCTCCGCTGAGCTGTAAAACTGTTCCCACCCTGCCAGACCCAGTTCTCTTCAGTCCTCTTAATAATTACAGTCCCATCGCATACCCTTATAATAAGCTCACTTTGTTTTTATGGTTTGCAACCAAAGAAAACCAACTCACACAAGCTAGTGAGGTGGTAGGTGATTTTAAGGGAAGCTAGCTGCCCCAAATATTCTTCCATTTTTCCAAGAGTACAAACATTATTTTATTATATTAAGCTCTGAAAGAGCTGTTTAAGTAGAAGCTGATTCTTTGTAACACTGCAACAAGATCTAAAAGACTTAGGAAGCAATTTCAAGCACCTGTAACAGATGTGGAGAAAGTGATGGATCACTAACGCAAGTCTGGGGTTCTTAAATCCAGAAGAGTTTAGATGAGGGATTACCAGTTGAAATACCTATAGAGAATGAGCAATGATGCAAATGAGTCATCTTATATCCACTCACTTCCGGGAACACACAATCTCGCCCGTGTTACTTTGGCTTCTACTGTCTTTCTTTCTGGTTTCCACCTGGAATACAGACATGTGTCCAGAGACATGCCGCTGTATTCTAAAGAAAACACCAACGCCAGTGTAGTGACGAATGGCAACTGAAGCTCGTCTTCCTTTTCAGAGAAATAATAGGGTCATAAAGACTCAGGAAGTGGTGAACATACGCCCTTCACATGGGGCAACATTCCTGAATTTTTTAAATAGGGAGAATTATCAGTATTTTTCTTTAACGTACAATCACCTGCTTATTATATATTGGTAACTAACTTGATTTAAAAAAAAAATTGGGTCAGGCCAGGAAAACAAGAATGCATTCTATTCCTGGGCGCTGCTGCTGCTGCTGCTAAGTCGCTGCAGTCGTGTCCGACTGTGCGACCCCATGCCTGTAGCCCACCAGGCTCCGCCACCCCTGAGATTCTCCAGGCAAGAACACTGGAGTGGGTTGCCATTTCCTGCTCCACTGGGCTATACTAGGGCTGCGGTAATCCATAAAGATTTAAGGCAAGTAAAACACTAACTGGGGCTTCCCAGGTGTCTCAGTGGTAAAGAATCCACCTGCCAATGCAGGAGACCTGGGTTCTATCCCCGAGTTGGGGGCAGATCCTCTGAGGAAGGAAATGGCTACTACAGCAGTATCTTAGCCTGGGAATTCCTATGGACAGAGGAACCTGGTGGGCTGCAGTCCACGGGGTCGCAAACAGTTGGACATGTCTTAGTGACTAAACAACAACAGCAAAACACTCAACACAATATTTGAGTGAACAAAATATTTTGAGAAATTAAGCTCATAAACTAGAGCAAGCTGCCGCAGTCATGGAATATATACTTGTGGGTGTCCTGATGGATCCTGTGGGCCCAGCGAGTGATGGCAAATAAGATGAGAGGAAATTTTTCTGCTGGCAGCTCTGGGGGTGCATTTTGATGCCTTTCTAGAGGCCAGGGTGGTGAGCCATATCTGAATCGGTATGTAGTTTGATCATCTCATTATATATCCTAGAAATAATTCCAAAAAAATATATTGACACTCTAAATTTATGAAGT